GTAGCGACTGACAGGTTGGCCCAGAGTTATTTTACAGCGAGGTCCATAGAGTTATTTAGCACCAGAGTCCCTTGTCTATAGAGATATTTCTACGAGGTCCTTTCCTTCATTAGTTGTCCAAACCTTTTGTGAGAGTTTCTGGTGGGGCCAGATTGTCTTGCCCTCATCTATACGGCCGCCCCTCTTGCCCCCCCCAAAACTCTTTCAGCCTAGTGCTGGTTTAGTTTTCCAAAAAATGCTACTGTAGCAATCACATTAAATCTTGCGATACGTGCATGGAGCATTAAATGTAGACGGAAAAAAAAACTAATTGCACAGTTTGGTTGAAAATTACGAGACGAACGTTTTGAGGCTAATTAGTTCATCATTGAACACTAATTGCCAAATAAAAACGAAAATGTTACCGTAGCCAAATTTTCAAAATTCACGAACTAAACACACAGCCTTACCCTCCACAACCGGTGCATAAACAGTTGCAGCAGATCCAAGTCATTTATTGCCTCCTTTCTTTCTTAGATCTAGCTACCGTGTCGACTGGTCGATGATACTGTATCTCCACATGCTAGTTGTTGACCGTACCATGCCAGTTCTGCAGCTAACTATCCTGTTTCCTCTCATCGGCACAGAACACCTTGCCGAAAAACTTAAAAGAATGTAGTACTTTAGTACACTCATCTTTGATGTTTATTACGAGCCGTACTATTTTAGCGAATAAACAGTGTTTTTATCTCACAACAAATCAACGAACAGTACTTTTAGCCATGACTTTTCAGCAAAGCGAACAGAGCCATAGCCTCCTTAGTTACCAGGCTTAGCCGTTTAGCAGTTAGAACCCACCCTGTAATAATGGAAAATGTATCTATAAAGTCTCTCTCAAGCGAGAAACCTGGCTAAGCATTCAGTTATTTTCTGCCAAGAAGACTATAGCAGAATGTCTTGGACAGTATAGTTGCACATCGAGGAATGAGTTCATGTTCTTGCTTCTTGACATGTCCAGTTTATCATGGTAACCTACTAATCTGCTGCGTGTGCTGCAGCTAAAGTTTTTTTTTTCTTGGCGACCTATTTGCATCGGTACATCTGGTTTGCTTTCCATGGTGTCATTTCTTCCCACCTTGTTCCATATTTGATATATGTGTGTTCAAGCATGCTATGGCGGCGTGACCTTAAGATGTGAATCCAAATTACCATTTGTGCTATATGAATTTCTGTTTCTTCAGTGTTTAACTTTGTTCAGAACGTTGACACCTGAATATTAATCATTGTACAGGGTCCTATCTGTGGCATGCCTCACTTCAAGATGAGCGGAAAGAAGAGTGATGAGCTTGAACCTGTTGATGCTGGCGATGAAGATGATGGTGATGACAACGCGGATGAGGACGGTGACTTTGGGGAGGGTGAAGAGGACATCTCTGAAGGGGAGGGATATGACAACCCAAAGGGCAATGAGAACAAGAAGAAGAAAAGAGGTGATGCTGAGAAAAACGGTGAGGAAGATGAGGAAGAAGCAGAAGACCAGGAGGGTGGTGGCGGCGACGACGATGACGACGACGACGACGACGATGATGACAATGGGGATGGCGAGGACGACGACAATGGGGATGACGAGGAGGAAGGGGGTGAGGATGAGGAAGACGACGACCAGGACGAGGACGAGGAGGAGGAAGATGATGATGAAGACTCACTCCAGCCCCCAAAGAAGAGGAAGAAGTGAAGATCTTCGCTCCGGCTTTAGTTACCATGTGCTGAGTTCTGGCTCGCTTTTCATCATATCCTCGCATTTGAACTTTCCCTTAGAGAGTTAAGAAGGCTCCACCCGTTCAGCAGCACGTGTGGGCTTGTAGGAGCTTTATGATTTGAGGCAATTAGGGAGAACTCTATGTCATTGTTGCTTGCTTCTGTGGAGTCGAACAGATGTTTCGCTAACATAATTCAACCTGAGTGATGAAAGCCTCGAGATTGAATATGCCATCTCTTTTATCTCGTATGGAATCAATGATGGGGCCCTGGTTGATCGCGTTCCTTCAATTGTGAATTATCTTGGCATGGTGGCAGCTTCGTGTGAATTGTACGTTTATACTATATTGGTAGCATTCTGAAATAGAATGGTTATGATGGCCAATGTGATTATGGCTTACGGAGCCACTGGAAGCCAGACAAGTGCATACAGACTTTTAGGTAAAAGGGATGGTAGAGCTGAACAACGTTTGAGCTTCTCATTCGGATCAGATCTTCCGGCTTGAAGCTCTCAAACAAGCGGCCAACTTGTGTCGTTTATGTGTTTGTGTTAACAATAATCCTCCTTTAGGGCTTGTTCAGTTAATCCCCTTCACAAGGGATCACTCTTCACCAAACCAAACAAAGCCTTAGGACGTACAACAGTACAAGCACATGCCTCGTGTGTTCCTCTTAGCCTCGTGCTCCCTCCAGGTTTCTAAAAGAAGTCGTTTTGGAGAAAGCTTGGGTCAAACATTGGGAATATAAATCATTAATAACTTGTATTGTTCATGTGTTTGTCTTAACAACATGCCTCGTAAGTTGTTGAATTTGGAAACATGAAAACCATATGAATAGATTTGTTTTGAAAAATACTTTCATAACATACATCACTTTTCAATAAATATTTTTATAAAAACAAGAAGTCAAAGTTATAATTTGGAGACCGTGTCACTATCCAAAATGACTTCTTTTAGGAACATGTAGGAAGTAGGTGTCTAGCTCCATATTCGTTTTTGCTAGTGCCCCTTGATGACTTTATAGATTTGCCATCTAAGATGACGTATCACTTGAGTTATCAACATGCCTTACCATGAGTCAATGACACGTGGGTCTAGTGGCTATTTCAAGTATCTGAATCCAGCTCTTACCATCATTCTTGCCACACTAGTTGTGCAGACTCTCACTAGAACAACACATGCCTTCACCTTTCATGTGATCATCCATTGTCGTCACCACCACCTTAAACCTACCCTCCATTACCCTCATCATTATGGATGTCTCGACTTGGGGCGATGGCTAGTGGTTCTCCACTAAGTCACACCACCTTACCGAGGCAGAGCTTCATACACGATAAACCACATCTTCTTGTGCTAAGTCAAAGTTTTAGCCTAATGTTTGCTATTTAGTACTATCTCATAAGGATTGAGTGTTGCATACTTGATTGAGGTCGTGAGGGCTCATAACTTAAGACTTTTTGATATGGATAGATCGATTACTATAAAAAAATAAATGCATTTTTTATAAAGTACCTTTTCAGCACATATTTTGCATGCATGTCTTGAATGTGTGCCATTTGTTCTTTACACGAAAGGAAATTCGACGCCAACACATCTAGTGCTATACATAAACTGCATATTTTCAAAAGAAAATATTCATTGAGTAGAATTCGCCTCGTACTTCTTCTTACTTTTGCATCAGTAGTAACGTACTACAATGTTTTATCTGATATATTACTGGTAGGTGACTCAAGAGAAAATCTAGAGGTGAGGATCTAGGGTTTGAATAGAGAATAGACGAGAATAGACTTACCCATTCTCAACCGTATAGTCCTAGAGCTAAGATATCCAGAAATTAACTATAATCATAGGGGGTTATCCCGCGACCCGTTGTGCCCTCAGGGAGCGCGCAACCTCATCTTCCTCCTCGTGACGGCTTCTTCTCTGCGGTCCTCCTCGCGACGAGCATGCTCCCGCGGTCTTCTTCTCTCTCCTCGTGCTCGTCCTTGACCCCGCCCTCCTCCTCGCCCTTGCCCCCACCGATGGCCACCGCCCCACCGCGGCACGCTAGGGTTGGTTGGAGCTCCAGTGAACCCTAGCATGCCTATGGCGGCCACCTTTTTCCCTCCCCTTCTTGCCGGAGCTCCGCCATGGCCACGCTAGCCGGCGATGCCGATCTCAGAGCTTCGGCCATGGTGCCCCCGCCCCCGACCTAGCCCGGCCGATACCGCAGCCGCCAAGGCCCCGAACCGCCCGGCCTCCTTCCCTACCGCCTGGCGGGCCTGCCTCCCTGGGGCCCATTCCTTCTAAAGCCCGCAGAAGTTGGCTTCTTCTCTCTGTTCGGCGACCTCCTCATCATCATCTTTGACAAGCTCCACGCCAGAACCCTAGGCAGTTTCTTCTCCCTCTCCGGTGTGGGCGCGAGCGCATGTGCGGGGCGGGCGTAGGCGAGAGGAAGAGAGGCGACGGAGGAAGGAGAAGGACGCAAGGAGGAGGCGAGAGCGAGGAGGGCGACGGGTCGCGCGACCCATCGCGTATTAGAGTTTGCGATAATCATATGTTATAAACTAGAAGTAGCACGACGTTAGCACGTGGGTTTCCATGTTGGGAAACTTGGGTGAACATGGGAAAGAAGGTGATGCACTATTATAGCACTCTAACTAAGCGATGAGTGTTGCCTTTAAAGGAGAGAGAACGCGTTAGTGAGGCAAGTTGTGATGTTGTGCTACTACTAAATATGGTTGTATAAAAAAGCGGGAGCGACCGTGAATAATAACCTAATCTAATGGGCTTGGAGATGAGATATTAATCTTTTACTATTTGGTGACCTAAACCTCTTATTTCTCTTGTAAGACCACATGTCACTTGGGGTCCTGTTGTTATATTTATTTACTTATTTTGCAAATGCCATTCTTATCTATATTTATTTTTTTAATAATAATAATAATTTGATGATTAAAATGATAATTAAGTTGTTTATTATTTTTTTTCTAAAAGGTACGTATCTCTATCTAAATCAAAGGAAAAAAGAAACAAAAAGAACACACAAGGAAAACGCTTCAGCCGATCTGAATCACGCTTACACTCCTCTTCTTTAGTTCCTACCTCTCCAAACCCTAGCCTCCCTGATCCATCCGCACCTCGAAATTTCGGCGGCTGATGCCTCCGCCATCGCCGCCGTGGTCGGCTAGCAGCTCTTCTATCTAGGTTTCGTCGGTCCCTCTTCCTCCCCCCGCCCCCAAGATCTGCGCGACGATTTGAGCTCTCCGTGCTGTTCGGGCGGCCATGAACAGCGCGTTCAGCGAGGACATACTCGCTGACAAGCTCGCCAAGCTCAACAACACGCAGCAATGCATCGAAAGTATCCTTTCCCTACTTTTCCCCGTTGAAATTTTTGGATTTTGGACTGTTTGCGGTGCTTCCAGGAAGTTTTGTGTGAATTTGCAACTTGTGCGCTTGGTCTCGCGTTTTCTGTACGATTAGACCGTAGATACATCTCTTTTCCGTGCTTAAGCTCGCGTCCATCGAATTGCTGTCAGGTTCGTTCAAAAGGATGTATCTTTGAATAGCCGGTAGGGAGAATTTGCCCGTTCTGCACCATGATCAGATAGATTCTTGACTCGCTGGGGACTCTCTGTTTGCTTCTTTTATATTGCCTACTGAAAATGTCTTGACTTAAAATCTTTTAACCTATTCAGTTGGTGTAAATAGATTGAGTTCTTTGCCATAAAACATGTATTTTAGTTATCCGGTTGTTGCCTTGACTTTTGCTCTTTGTGGCCACTAGCGCTGTCACATTGGTGCATTTACCATAGAAAGAATGCAGAGCAAATTGTTCAGACTTGGGACAAGCAGTTCCACAGCTCTAGCAAGGAGCAGAAGGTCCCTTTCCTTCATCTTGCTAATGACATCTTACAGAACAGCAAGCGCAATGGGACAGAGTTTGTAGAAGAATTTTGGAAGGTTCTCCCTGGGGCGCTTAAAAATGTAAGTGAGAATGGTGATGACCGTGGGAAGAAGGTGGCATCTAGGCTGGTGAGTGTTGTATATCGATGTTATGAGTTCCCAGCTGTTGCATATCTGTTCTGAAAATACACGTGTATCCTGTTAATATTGTCGTAGCTGCAAAAACTTATTAGTAACGCACAAATGTGTCCTAGGTTGACATATGGCAAGAAAGGAGAGTTTTTGGCTCACGTGCTGGGGCATCAAGGATGTGATGCTTGGCGCAGCTCCCCTTTCCTGTTTTAGATATGACCAAAAAGCGCTCTCACAGTTCATCAATAAGGATTGTTAAAAGAGATTCGCGTTCTGTGAAACTTGTAAGATTTTCTACTCTTCCTACTAGACTATTTTTTAACACTTATACTTTGCTATGAAATTCTCTCAAATATTATCGCCATCTTTGATCAGAGACTAGGCATCGGAGGCACTGCAGAGAGGATTGTATCTGCATTGCATACTGTTCTCAGTGAACAAGCAGATGAGGATGCTGACCTCGAAAAATGCAAGACTTCTATGCGTCATGTTGGAAAGATGGAGAAGGACGTCGACAGCGCCTGTAGCAAAGGTAATATTTGTTGCCGGCCTGGGTGGAGTCCTGCATTTTTGCTACCTTAGTAGACATTCTTAAGACGTCCTCTGTATGCAGCCGAAGATCCTCGTCGTGAGGTTCTTTGCACAGAACTAAAGGATGAGGAGGCTAACATGAAAAAATGCATCGAAAAGCTAAAAGTTGTTGAGACAAATAGAGCAGCTGTTGTGTCTGAATTGAAGGAGGCATTGCAGGAACAGGTCAGAACAACTTGAATTTTGTCTTTTCGAATATGTATTAGCTTGTCATTGTTACTTGTATTTTGTCGATGGAGCTATGGAATCTTATTTGTTTATGTTACTCAGGAATCTGAACTGGAGAAAGTCCGCACTCAGTTACAGGTAATTTTTTCCAACCATTCCAAACCATGGAAATGTTGATACATGCTTATAGTGTTCTGTAGGATGTGAACACTTGTCATTCTTATGTTTTTAAATTTTCCAATCGGCAGCTAGCTGAAGCAATGGTACATGAAGCCTCCAACATGCAGCGGAGACTCAAGAATGAGCCAACCATTCCGCTGCCCAAATCAGCATCTTCAGTAGAGCCAAGAAAGGTGCTTTCCAATGGGCAAGTAAAGGAGCAGCAGAAGACAGCTGCTGCTATCCTTATGGACAAGATTGCAGCATCATCAAACTCTCAGCAGATTCTGCAGTCTGCACTTTCCAAGTTTGCTGCTGAAGAAGCGAAGAATTCATCTGAAACACGCTCAGATAAGAGGCAGAAAACTGACCAACTTTCGCAGGTACCAAGCGTCATAAATGCTGCTGCTTTCGTTCCAATGCCACAAGTGGTTGCCACAACAGCTCAGCAGCAGCCCCAGGCAATCTTAGTGCAACAAGCACCTATGCAGAGCCAAGCCCCTGCATCTCAGCCACAGTACAATATCTACCAGGCCTCTCCCAGCAGTTTGTCCCTCAGCCTGGAGGTGTAATGATGGGCATGCCTTACAACATGAGCACCATGGCCCCGCCACCACCGCCTCCACCGCCCCAGATGATGAACCTAGGAAGGCCCTCACCTTCAGCTCCACAGCCTCAAATGGCTGTCATGACGCAGACCCAGCCAACTCCACCGATGCTTCAGCAGCAGATGCCAATGAACCTAGCGCCTCAGATGCAGTTCGCCCTTCAGCCGCCTGGCGTGCCGCCTTTCAGGCCCATGCAGCCACCTCCTCGGATGCAATACTTCCATCCCCAATCTCAGTGACAGTTTTGGTAGCTCAGCCCTGTTAAACTTTTTGACAGGTTTTCGATTTAGCGTTGACTGGTAGGCAGGATCTGACATGCTGTAGAGTATACTGTTTGTGCTGTTCATTTCGCCATGTTGTTGTACTGTACATGTAATGCGAGGAGAGTTAAAGAGCGAGGAGAGTAAAAGGAAGATTAAAGATTCACATAGGCCTGCTTCGACTCGTACAGCTTCACCGTATATGCTTGATGAGGGAGCCGAATTTTAGAAAACGAAGGTGGTTTTTTTTTTGGGTGAGTTTTCTTTTCTCATTTTTGAGCATGCAGGTAGAGTTTCTGGGGCCTGATATTTAGACTTTTTTTTTTACATCACCGAAAATATTTTTGGTAACATAGGCAACGAAATACAACAATATTTTGTTTTTGCAATTACAATGGCCTGGAGCAAGATGGCGCACTGATCCTGTTGGTGGGCGGGCCTGTTTGCTTCACACTGTGAAGGAGCTGCTCGGCCTCGGGAGTCAGGATCTGGGCCACAGTGTGAAAAGAACAGGAGGAACCCCATGCTGTTTTGTTTTGTCAGACAAAACCATAGATAGGCTTCAGAACGTGTTTTCCCCAAAAATGCAAATATGATCGATGTGGATTAGATTGAACTTTATTCTTTTCTCTAAGAACGGAAGAAAATAGTGGATGACCAAGGAGAACAATATCATCCAAAGGCAGTTCAAAGTTGGAAGAACAAATTACCCACCAGCCACCAGCCATTTCCTAAACTTGTATCGCAGTCCCAACTTCCAAGGGCAGGTTCTGTATGAATTGAGGCAGAGATGCTGCTGGGTTACCCCTGCATTTGGGGTGGTCTTTATCTTAACGCAAAATATAATGTAGTCTCTCTAATATGCATGATCCCAGGCTCCCAGCCCCAATAGCATCCTTTTATATTAGAGCCTTAGAGGAAACAAAGAAAGGAAGTGTGATCTTGCTGGCAATATATATAGCACTGCGGGAACATGCATTGACTGGATGTTGCGAATTTATCTGACAAATATGATTACATCTACTTCAGTACCACTCCAGAGAACTATTCAAGTTCAGACTTGACCGGGTAACGACGTGGGATATTTATTTTCCATGAACAAAGCATGGCATTTGACCGCGTATATCTTACTGCAATTTCGAGCGATATTTCTGATGGCTTAAACCAGATAACACGGTCTCTTGGGATGGGAGTGTCCGATTCAATTTGAGTACACCTGATCAATAGAAAAAATGTAGTAGAAACCAAAACGTGCAGGAAAAATGTACTGGTTATAGATTGACCTACTGCAACGCGAAGCAACTGGACTCACAACAAAACGGTTAATTGCATGCATTTGTAGCCGTCAGATAACAGAACAGAATGCGATAAAGACTACTATGCAACTCTTCATTGTTAAATTTCCTTTCTCTGGTATACCAGAACAGATAGACCAACTTCCCACCATAAATCCGTACAATAATGTAAGCAATGACTTGTTTTCCATTGCCAATGCATTAAAAGAATACTAAAACCTGGATGTTCTGAATGTTGTGGGAGGACAACACCAGAATCTATAAATGAAAGGTAATTTGAAGAACCTTGGTGGCCTGTTGAGAACAAATCATGCAGAACTGTTCGTCTAGATGAAAGTTCTTTTTCCATGAAAGCTCTCAGGCTTCTAATATGCATTTTATTTATAGTTTATACATAGAAAAAAAAAACTAACAAAACAGCATCGACAAACTGAACTTGCCCTATCTTGACCAGTAAACCACATGCTACCAGACCTGAAATTCAGTTCATGAATTACAAAGAGTTCTTTTTTTAAAAAGGTTAAACTGGATTTCATTTCATTGAAGGCATAGTGAAAAGATGGGGCTAAACATTCACATTTGGGAATTTTGAAGTGCTCTTTGCATATTACGTTGCAAAGAGCGCAGCCATGCTTGAAATGAGTACAGACTACAGACAAGGCCGTGTTTCCTTGTCTAGCTTGCCTGACAGGCAATACAAAGGAGTTGAACCTTACTGAGTTACTGTGAGACACATTAAACTAGAGGTACTTGATTTGCATACAAATCATTGATCTACTAATAGGCAATGGCACCTTCTGTCCAGTGGTCACCACCAAATTTATCAAGTCATGAAACTTGCATACAGAATTCTCCAGCAAAACATATCAGAAAGATAAAAACTGATTAAAGCATAAGGATGTCACCAATTGCCATTTGCAAATATTCTTCTATTCATGGATAAAGAACCCCTCAGAAACGGATGCCATAATATGGCATTCCACATCAGGATACTCCTTCATAATGCTGCAGATCTTCTCGTAGCCATTGTTACTTGGTGAGATGTCATCAGAAATAGTCATTGTCAATCTCCGAAGCACTGTTACACATCGGAGTATGCCTTTTAGGAAATCAACTTCATCATCTTCACCTTGCAGGCCATGAATTTCAACGACTTCAAGATTAGACAAAGAGACATCTTCACTTCTCCAGTTGATAGGATGTTCACAAGGACAATTTACTGGGCACGGCACTCGTACCTGAAAGAAAATTGGAGTACAGGATCAACAACCGGAATACATAACTAAAGGACAATTCACTGCTATCGAAACTCAGTAGCCAACCAGAATACATAAGTACAGGATCAACAATCGAATGATTACCTTGTCACGTTTTAGGACCACCTTAAGTCTTTGCATAATTGGTTGAGTCCGAAGCAGACATAACATCATTGGTCCAAAAGCATGCCCCTCTATTTCGAGATCCAGCTCTAAAACAGTAAAAACAGCCACTGGAAGATGAGCTATCAGTTGTGTAATGCTCCATTCTGCATCCAGAAGACCATTTGACTGCATTCAACAAAGTGAGTGTCCAATGTTATCGACAGAGGAAATTTTCATCACATGGAGAAAACCATTTGGCTGCATATAATAACATAAATAATTTCGTTATAAAAGTTTGCAAGAGAAGCGTATAAAAGTATCTAATTTTTGGCCCCTGCACGCTACCTATCGCAGAGCAACACGGGAGGCGACCCAAACCCTAGCCGCCTCTCTTCCTTCCTCCCTCTCCAGTAGCGCGCGTTGTCGCCGAGCAGGCCGCCGGCATGGGCAGCAGCTTGCTCGGGAGGGCGGCGGCGAGGCTCTTCTTCGCGGTGGAAGCTGCGACGGTCGGGACGAGCGCGCGCGGCGGCGTCTGGGGCATGGCGTGGTCATCGGGGCGGTGGTGGCTCCGGCGTCTTTCAAAGCAGGGCCTCTCTCGCTTGCCGTCCGGATCCGGTGGTCCATCAACCGGATTCGCGACGGATCTCCGCCGCCCACGCTTGGGCGTGCGGCGCAGCGGCGGCTCGTCCAAGATGCCGCGGATCCGCGGGTACGGTGCCTGTGGCGCGGAGGCTACGCCTGGGGGCGCGGTGGCGGCGGCTGCGTCGCCCAAGGCCGGGTCTCTTCCTCTTCCTCGCTCTTGGTGGTGGCGTGCACAGTAGCGGGGCGGCGGGGCGTGCCCTCGCACGAGCCGCGTGGGGCTCGGCGGGCCGCCATCGCGGCAAGCCGGCAGACGGCGCCGCCGTCTGCGCGCAGCGCCGGAGGTGGCGGGGCTCCTTCTTCCTCCTCCGCTCCCCCCTTTCCTCCTCGACCATGGCGTGGAGGCGGCGGCGCCAACGGGTCACTGGTCCGCGCCTCGACGGCTTAGATCCGGCGTGCCCGTGGCGGGGGGCGGCGCCCGAGGTGGGGCATTCGCTTGTCGGTGGCTGGCGGAGGTCGGCGGCGTCGACGGCGGGTGCTTGAGCCGGCGACGACAGCTGGCGACGGCTTCGGCGTGCGGTAGGGTGACGCGCGTGGCAGGGTAAGTCCAGCTCTGCATGTTGCCCGGTCGGAGGGGGTGGCGGCCGACGCAGCTGTGCGGCTGCTGTGAGCAGCCGACGCGTCGATGCCCCTCTGGAGGGGCTTCTCCGGGATGGCAGTGATGACGACGGTGGCGACAAGCTACGGTCCGCATCTTGGCTCGACGCTTGTGCTAGGGGCACCTCGGCGAAAACTTTGGCAACGGCGACGCCTGTGGGCGCCGTTTTCCTTGTTGGGGGCGTCGTGTTCTTGTGCCCCAAGCCATGTCTTCCACAGGTGGAAACCCGGTCCATTCTCGGACAAGCGATGGCGGCGCTTATCGGCGTCAGACCCTTCTGAAAGGCGTCCGCCATGGAAATTCGTCTCGCCGTGATGTCTCCTTCGGCGGATGTCCTCTACCTCTCGGCGCCCGGTTGATGCGAGACGGCGAAGTTCTCGCATCGTGAAGTCGGAGTGCTGCGATCGGGGATGTAGCTCGACAACGATGACGCAGTCGAACCCTCCTTCTCCGATGGCTGGGTTTCAGCTTTAGAGGCTTTCGGCAATTGCCACAGGCGGGCGTGGGATCAAGGCGAAGTCGGAGCTGCTTTTCATGGCCGTTGAGCTCGGCAACGATGACTGTTGCAGCCTCCTGCCGGGCCCGTTGGTCTCGACATCTTAGGATGGGTCGTCGGTGTTTTGCCATGGGAAGTCGGAGCTGCCGGTTGCTTTGCAACCATGCTCGCAACGATGACTCATGGTAGTGTAATACTCTATCGCGTTATGTGGGTGGACTAACCTTTCGTGGTGTTTGGCGCCACGCTTGGTTATCTTTGCTTGTATATAAACTTCATTCGTCTTAATTGAAAGGCAGAGCTCCTGCCATTGTTTCAAAAAAATAAAAAAGAAGCGTAGAAAAGTAGCATACGCACATTAGCAGAACTCATTATGGTTAGCGAGACGACATGAAATTCATCTAGCTCACACTCCCTTATGCTCACGAGGCGCCATATCTGTCCGAACCCAACAGTAACGCACGAATAGGAGCAACCCCATCTGAGTTTCTTCACCATTGGGGCCGAGAAGGACAAGCTGAAGCCTTTGGCAATATCAACCTCCAATGTCACCTCCTTAAGCACTGGGGTCGTGATGTCAATGCGGCAGATGTCATGAATATTTATCTCCAAGCTGAACTCCTCAAGCGACGGCTAGTGAAAAATCACTGTGTCAGCATGTTTGAGATCGCTGACGTTTAGGATGTTCAGGATGCGCAGACATGGGCAGATGGGGAGGCAGGACGCCAAGGTCGATGCAGCACGATTGCAGGTGAAGGATCTTGAGTGCAGTGAACTCACCGGACCGTGGCAAAGTAATTGGGAGGCTGCCCATCAACTCAAGACTATTCTGGCTGATTTGTTGTGAGGGAAAAATACTGTTCTATCTAAAAAATAAGTTGAAAAAGACGGATTATAAGAGAAGCGAACAGGACGTAAGATGTGCGCTCGAAGCAAGGAAGCTCGACGGCGTAGTCTTTTATGGGGTGGATCATCACAGAGATGATGAGTTTCTCTGGCAACACAAGTGCAGCGGAGCGAAGAAGCAAGGATACGTCCCCACCCCCGTCTTCTTCCATCCAGCCCAATGAGGACGACAAATTGATGTCAAGGAGGTCCACCAAGGAACGGGTGATCCCGGAGAGCACTGACACAACAGGGAGAGGGTTGGCGCACCAGAACGTGAGCTCAAGAAGCTCAATCCAGAGGTCACGCCAGCCGTGGGATACTGCTCCGGCGCATGCAGCTTCAGCGACGGACCTGAGATGGATGAGAATCTCAAGGAGCAGGTCCTCAGGGAGGCCACTGATCCTATCCTATAAGCTTTGCTGAGACCAGCGGTGATGGCCACCACACAATATGACTAGAGCCAAGAAGGGAGAGAGAATAGGGTGCACACAACATATAAGCGTGTTGGCCAGAGCTCTGCAGAGTAGATAGTAAAACTGAACTCGGACTCTTTACTGAGTTGCAGTGGAAAGCTATAAATACAATTCTACCCATCTAATCCTAGTGCCATGCTGCTACAGTGACTAGATGTAACAGAAGGGTTGACTTTGGCCTATGCCCCTGCTGTGTCTACAGTGCGGCGGGAAAGCCTTTCAGCGCCTGTCCCTGCCGCGGCTACAGTGCAACAGCAGGGAGCTCTTTTAGATGGCCTATCACATCCTCAATGGTGAGGGTGGACAAGTCTAACATCGTTTCTATGCAGAGAGCGATCTGTATGTACTTCACCGGCACAGAGTGGAGGTACTTGGAGACCGCTTCTTCATCCGGCAGCCCACTCCTCCTCATCAAGAGCAGTTTGCAGCTTGTCCGTTCTGCTATTGTGGCCTACTCCATGCGCTGCTCACATACACGCCGACGAAGAGCTCCTCCTTTCCAACACCGTGTGTAGAGCGCTGTGCTTGGTTGGCGCACCGCTTGAACCCAAGCTTCGCCCAATGGTGGTGTCAAGCTTGCAGTTCCATGCTCGCGAGGCATGCCGCAGCCCGTAGAGCACCTTGCACAGTTGGAGCACCCTGTGCTTCGCTCCCTTGATGGTGAAACTCGAAGGTTGCCTAACGAAGATCGTATCCGCTAGCTCGCCGTTAAGGAAGACCGATTTACGCTCTAGGTAATGGACGCCGCCAGTTCTTCTTCGCCGCCGCCAAAGCCGCAAGCAGCCGGATATATCTCCATGCGCTACGCTACCGCGCAAAGACTTTCTCGAAGTCGATGCCCTCGCGTTGGACAAAGCCTCGGGCGACGAGGCGTGCCTTGTGCTTGACAATGGCGTCGCGCTCGTCCCGTTTGACCTTGTACACCCACTTCAGGCCGATCAGACGACATCCTGGAGGTGGATTGATGAGCTCCCAAGTCTCATTTTTCTCGATCGCCTTCATCTCCTCCAGCATCGCTCGTCGCCAATTTGCATCACGCTTAGCCAACGTGAACGTGGGTGGTTCCTCTACACTGATGAGAAGCAGCTCTGGGTCATTGAGCAGCCGACCCGCTTAGGCTTGAGGACCCCTGTGTCGCCCGATGATGTCGCCCGACTTGCGTAAATCGCACCTCCTCACCGTCATGGAAGGCATCCACGAACTTCGGTGATGTCGTTTGAGGTGAGGCAAACTCGATCGGCGTCGATGGAGTCCCCTGTTCCGCCGGAGTGGTCGCACTTCACTCGTAGTTCTCAAGACTACTCCCCGGACCGCTTGTCACCACTCCTGGAGTGCTCGGCACCCCCACTGTAGTTCTCAGCACTACTCCTAGACCGCTTGTCACCACTTCTAGAGTGGTTGGCACCACTACATGAGTGGTCGGCATCAGTCTTGGAGTGGTCGGCACCACTGCAAGACCACTTGGCTCTGCTTTCACGGAGCATTCGGCACCCATCCTAGAGTGGTCAAGACCACCAGGGACCACTCGGCACCACTCCTAGAGTGTTTGGCACCCTTCCCAAGAGTTGCTCGGCACCGCCCAAGAGTGCTCGGCTCATGGTTGGAGTGGTCGGCACCTCCTCTCTAGTGTCTCCACCACCATGGATGACCAAGTGTTCGACAATGAAGGTGCTGGTGAAGCCACCAGCTTCCCCTGCGTCTAAACCGTCCCTAGTCCTAGGCCGCCTTTTCATCGAACACGACGTCACACGAGACAACCACCTTGCCTCCACATGGGTCATAGAGCTGGTACGCCTTAGTACCTTCCTGGTAGCCTAGGAGCACCATTGGTGTGCTCCTGTCCTCCAGCTTGGTGAGGACCGGCTTTGTCTTCCTAATGTGGCCGATGCGTCCGAATGTCCGGAGGAAGGACACGCTTAGCTTGTGCCCATACCAAGCTTCGAACGGCGCCTTGCCCATCACGGCCTTAGTGGGC